TGCAGTTTTCGTGGAAGAGCAAGGAAATGGTAATGGACAATGTCGGTTGTTAAAGCGAGTCCAGACAACGAGATTTATCAGTACCGTCATTCGGGGCTACTTTGTGCAGGATTTCGCAGTTTTTGAACTTTGACATGTAAAAAAACTATGTTAATTCAAACTTTAGTAAAATTTATCGATACTATATTCATAACTGGACTCAGACGAGTGAATTTGATCAATATTGGCATTATTTGTATGTAATATTTACGAATAATAAGTCAAAACATACCTTGCACAAAGTAGCCCCCAAATGGGGCTACTTTGTGCAGCGATAGGAATTCAGTTTAATAATCATGTTTTTAGTAAAATATTGATATAAAATTGTTAAAAAAGTTAATTGTTGACATTTTTAAAGACAAAAACATCAAGATATGTAAAGATATTAGTTTGAAAATAATTTTCAGCGTTAAAAAACCATTTTTTTTGAAGAATTTTTTCTTAAAAAGAATGTTTATTTCAAAACATTTGAGTTTAAACAAAAGGAAACCATATACATTTTTAAACATTGAAATGGATGAAATTTTAAAAATAATAATTATTACATATTCATTAACATTTATAATATTGTTAAATTTGAACATAACATCCTTGAATGAACATGACAGAACTTGCTCTTCAGTTTCTGTCAAAATCACCTGATGTCCTATAAAATATATTTTTATGTGTTAAATCGTTTGATTAATTCATTAGAAAAATCTTTGTAGAAGAAAAATAATAGTTTACCAGGAAGTTTCACGTGTTTCTTGTGAATTTTATTAGAGATAGTATTTCTGTGGATTTTGTACTTCCGAGAAGCTTCTGCAATCGACATACCACCAGCAACTGCTTGCAAACATTGTTGCAGCTTTTCTAAAGTGTAATCACGGTAGTTTCTCGTTCCAGGTATTTTTTTATAACGTCTGACCATTTTTCTGTCGAAAAAAAAAACGAATGAAACTTTGCACAAAGTAGCCCCAAAGTGCATTTTTTTTCATTTTCCGTTTATTTGTTATTAATTTTCAAATTTTTTTAACGCTAACATGATATAATTGTTTATTAATATATAAATAAAAAATTTTGCACTTACGACAATTGTTTTATCAACGTCTTTGCATTTCACAGCTAAAGTTTCCACGCACACTTTTCGACATCCGACGTCCTCGGAAAGTTGTTGACATTGGATGAACAAAACACACTCTGAGATTGTTTTAAAATTCGAAAAAATGTTTGTAGTAATAGAAGAGACTTCTATCTTCAAATTCCACTCATTTTTAAAGTGAAATAAACATAATACTGAATAGCAGCACTTGAAAAATGCCAAATTCGAATTTGCACAAAGTAGCCCCGAATGACGGTACTAAAGACGCTGTAACTATTATTCTAAAGACTTTTACTACTGTAATTTCTACATTGAAGAGAATAATTGCACATGGAACATGAAACCATCACTAAAGCGCCTGGTTTGCTGCACAGAGTACAAGATATAAACTTTGTTGTGTCTCTCTATATACTGGATAAAATTTTTACCATTACATCCCCTGCGACAATATTAATGCAGGGAGTTGCAGTCGACTTGGCCTAAGTAGCCCAGTTGCTTGAAATTTGCAAGACTGGCATCAGGAAATTAAGAGAAAATGTGGACACATCGTGGAAAAAAATATGGGAGATGTCATGCAAATTTTCCGAAACTCATGGCATTGATACCGAGATCAATCGGAGACAAAGGAGAGTTCCCCACATGCCTGGTGAAAATTGCCGGGATGAAAGACTTCATGGAGAAGAGTTATATATAGTTATATATAGTGGCTTTGTTGGAAGTTATATATAGTGGCTTTGTTGGAAGTTATATATAGTGGCTTTGGATGGTTTGAGCATTCAACTTGAAGATCTTTTTCCGAAAAAAAATTTGACTTTGTACTGTCAAATGAGTCTTTTTAGCGAAAAAAGTTTAAGATCTTCGACATTCAAAGCTACAAAAGATGACATAGGCTTTCTATGCAATAAGTACGGTCTCGATGCTGACGAAGCCGTTAATGAACTGGAGAACTTTAGAGATCTTGAATAGGGAGAAGATGACAGTGAAATTCATAAGGAATATCAAAATGCAGCATCACTGGACACAGAGGAAGAAAGCTCAGAGTCTGAAATTGACGAATCAGATATGGCGATCAGATACGGTTCAGGAAGTGTGGATTTTTTCCCTCACTGAATGTAGCTTTCGAAATTTCCTACAATAATGTGCATTTATAAGATCTTGGCCATTCTACCAGTCACAAGTTGTTCCGCCGAAAGAGCGTTCAGTAGGCTTAAAATCATCAAAAATAGATTGCTGTCCACCATTTGCACGAAGCGTCTTAACAGCTTACTGATAATTGCTGCAGAAAAGGATATATTACAGAAAGTGTCGACAGATCATATTATTGATACTTTTGCAATGAGCTCGGAAGTTTTAAAGAAATTATTATTGCCAGCCAGTTCTCTTGACTAGAGCATCAATAATATGATTTGTTGAGACTTTTTTAGATGTATCGTGTACGTTCTAACTCTTACAGTCACTATCTTCACTCAGCGATCATCAAAGACAAATATTTTTTGTGTGTTCCGTGCTACTTTTTAGCAAATTAAGGGAAAAATGTAAAAAAAAAATGATACTTATCTATATAATGAAGCAATTTTGTAAAATAAAATGTGCATGTTTATTTATTAATTAACAAATATTTGCAACAAATGCATTATTTGCTTTGGTTACTTTTGTACATTGTTTANATTGCTGTCCACCATTTGCACGAAGCGTCTTAACAGCTTACTGATAATTGCTGCAGAAAAGGATATATTGCAGAAAGTGTCGACAGATCATATTATTGATACTTTTGCAATGAGCTCGGAAGTTTTAAAGAAATTATTATTGCCAGCCAGTTCTCTTGACTAGAGCATCAATAATATGATTTGTTGAGACTTTTTTAGATGTATCGTGTACGTTCTAACCCTTACAGTCACTATCTTTACTCAGCGATCATCAAAGACAAATATTTTTTGTGTGTTCCTTGCTACTTTTTAGCAAATTGAGGGAAAAATGTAAAAAAAAAAAATTATACTTATCTATATAATGAAACAATTTTGTAAAATATAATGTGCATGTTTATTTATTAATTAACAAATATTTGCAACAAATGCATTATTTGCTTTGGTTACTTTTGTACATTGTTTATGAATGAGACTTGCATATGTCTAAAAATTTTTTACAGTTTGAAAAAAAAAACAATAAATATCAACTTTTTCGTTTATTAAAAATGTCGTTTGCAGCGAATCAATAAATCTTGATTTTTTTTATAGTTAATTTTTTTTTTAAATGGGTAATGAAAATTTGTTTTAAAAAATATGTTTACATTCTTAACGGTATAAAGAACCATTTGCATAATTTTTTTGTTAAAAAACGGCGATCGACAGGGCTAAAAAAAAAATCTTGAAATCATGTCCATTATAATGGACATTTGCCTGAAAGGGTTAATTGTGCTAAAATTCCCAACTCTTGTGATGATTGCTGATTGCCATTTGCTGCATTGTTTGGTAACTTCAATAAACTTTTTTTTTTAATTATTAGTTTAAAACTTCTGAGCTCATTAATCTACAGGTGCCATCAGTAACTTATCATTTATTGTAATAGTTTTAGTCAGCCCATTTTAAATTATTTTTTGTGCCATCTTTATTAATTTATTTATTTTTGCTTTAAACATATTTTCAGCATTCACAATCAGGATCAAGGTCTGCATTTGTCATATTATGAGTAGAATGCAAGCAAAGTAGCACTATTTCGAACAAGCTAACATGGAAGGGGGAAGTTAGCAATTTTTTTTTTGGGGGGGGGGAATGAATGCGCCCGAGAGCTTAGGGGATGGGGGCCACTGAGTGGTTGATATGATATAACTTAATGGACGTTAGTTGATGGTGAACGTCGTTTGCCCTTTTTGTAAGGCATATTTTTTTATTATGCAAGAATGTCGATAATGTGTGCTCGCTTATTAAGCTGTTACCAGAGGGAACCACACGTGATAATTGCCGCCACTCGTGGGCTGGTGTTCTATTGGTGGTAAATATTTTATGAGGTAACCTGGTGGCTCAATGAATATGAATGCTTTCTGTAGAGAAATATCTGTACCCGAAAGGGTTGTGCGATGGAGTTTGGTATGTTACATATGTTTATAAAGGGCATGATAGTAGTAAACTGGCGCAGTACAATAGAAGGGGGCGTGGCCACAGCAGGGGGTTGTCAATCATCCCATCAGGGGGTAAGGAGGGTTATATGTGTTATAGTAGAGGGGTTTAAAAAAGAAAGTGAGCGTCATCAACTGTTTATTTCTTTTTTTTAGCAGAAAGGGGATCAGTTTCGGTTTTGGAGTATATTATTTCTCTTCTGTGGAGGCAATACTTTAGTTATATCGATCCTGCGCTAGCTAAAAGTACCCATGGGACAGTAGTTGGGTATCTAAACCACTGTCCTATGGATGCTTGTTCATCTTTGCGTTAATAAGTTTGAATTTCAATCTTCTGTTCAAAACGATATCGATCACATCCTCTACTTTCATCGATATGTCTTCACTTCGATTTTTTTTTATCAGTTATTAGATTAAGAATTCTGTACACTCCATGCGTAATTATTACTTCCTCTTGGCAACGAAAGCTCCCCTCACTTTATACACGTGCTTGAGAGTGTGTACCGGTTTTGGGCTGACGTCACTACACGTCATTACCTTCTCGTTCAGGCAAGATTTTTGCAAGGTAGATGTTGTACTGTGACGTATGCATAATGACTTCAGTTCCTTTCACGGAAGAAGAGGGTTGTAGTTACACACGTGATGTTTTAAAATTTTTTCATTGGTCAGTTATTTTTCTACTTGCTCGGAATGGCATCAGTTTCTTGTGCATTTCTCGTTTAGTTTAGGCTCGTTGTTGTGTTGGACGTTGCTGTGTGCAGAGTATACCAAATTTCATACCTCCACAAGATAATTTTTTTTATTTTTGAAAATTTGAAGACATTGTATCTGCATTCATTTCATTATGGACAAAAGGAAATATAATCAAGAGGCCAATTCACAAAATGTTTGCAAAAAGTCGAAAACAGATAGTTTTAAAGTAAGTTTATTTTCGTTATACTGTGTATTATTAAGTTAAAAATTTTATTGCTAATTTATTTGTTTTTTATAAAATTTACTAAATCTGTTTTTTTTTTAAAAAATATTTTTTCAGGATGGATTATTCACCGATGATCACATGCCAGATGAGGTATTCCCGATCGGCAACGATGTCTTTGTAAATGCTACAACATATCGTAGATTCGTTACAGTACACTTGCGGCAATACAAAAAATATGGTAAAGTATACTACCCATCGAGTGAAGAAATAACTCTAAGACCGTGGTGGATACAATATATCATAGGACTCAAAAAAGTTCCTGAAACAAAAAGTGAGTTAGCTATTGCACCTTACGTCTGAGAAAAGGAAATCCGAATCACAAGTGAGAACTTTTCTGATTTTTGTTTTGAACGCATATACGAAGCTGATAAAATGCCCAGTTCAAAGCGAATAACTATCACTAAGGAACAATGGCAAGAGATGCTAAACAAATACATTGATATTTCAGGCATAGTTTTGGATTTTATATTTAAGAACATGAACTTTTTAGATGCTTTTAAAAATGTTTGTGAATCTCCTATTGATAAAGCTTTACCAAGCTCTTTGGATACTAGTCTTGGTGAACAGTACTTGGAAAATTTTTTAAAAAGATCTATATGTGATATTTCTATTGACAATGGTATGAAAGAGCCCCGTAGACTTGCTGAGGAACAATTTGGTAACCGTGATGAAACTTTCAATTCTTATGCTTTTCCTCTGGAAGCAATGGAATTGGCTGAACGATTTTATTCTAACCTATTTGATAGACAAAAGTTTTTATTATTACCACCTCTTAGTTATGCTACTGAGGAATTTTTTGAAAATTTACATTTACATTTTGTATTAAGATCGGCCAGAGAATTCATGTGTCCTTCTGATACTTTTGAATATTTTAAAGATTTTGATTAGCTGTCACTTGTTAATCGAGCATTACTTATCTTTGAATAAATAGTTTATTCCTATTGTTCTTTGTGTACCATGTTTTAATTTTTTTTTTTTTTGAAAAATTTTATTTTGTGAACTTTTTTTCCCAGATAAACGTACAATTTTCTTTTTCAGAGAAAACTTTCTTTTTTCCTCAGAATAAATATTGCTTCCACGTTAGTTAATTTATGTTGCTTTAATATAATAAAGAAATAATTAAATTAAATGATGTACCAGTATGTTTAAGTTTAAATAAAATAGGATAATTAAATTTATATTGATAACATTATTTCATATATAGCTGGAAAATGTATTTTAATCTTAAAAAAATCTAAGTCGGAATGAATAATTTACTGTCTTCTGTTTATAAGAAACCTGATCACCCAGGTAGTTTCGGCGGTGTTAATGCAATTTATAATGCTGTAAAGGGCAAAGTTAAAAAAAGTCAAATTAAAAAATGGTTAGAAACTAAGGATTCTTATACATTACATAAAGCAGTAAAACATAAATTTAGAAGGAATCGAGTGATTGTTGGAGGAATAGATGAACAATTTCAAATTGATTTGGTTGATTTGCAATCGTTAGCAAAGTTTAATAATGGATATAAATATTTGTTAACTTGTATAGATTGTTTTTCAAAATTTGCATGAGCTGTGCCTGTAAAAGACAAATCAGCCAAAAATATACTGTCTGCTTTAAAAAATATTTTTAAAGAAAGAAAGCCGGAAAATTTACAATCAGACAAAGGAACAGAATTTACAAATAAACTGATACAGAAATATCTAAAAGAGGAAGGGATTCATTATTTTACAACAAATAATGAAACAAAAGCTAGTATTGTGTAGAGATTTAATCGTACTTTAAAAACTAAAATGTGGAAATACTTCACAGAATATAACACGAAGAAATATATTAATGTCATTGCAAAGTTAGTACAGTGGCAGTCAAAAGTATTCGTACAATGAATTTTGAAGTGCTCATCGCTTCATAGTATTTTATTAATTGTACTACGTCATTAAACACAGATACCAGGCCTTGTATCCTTTATTTTTGAGCAATTTAATCAAAAGAAGTTTTCTTGTAAAACAATTACAGAAAAAAAATATAAAAAATAGAAATTAATTATCAAAACTTTTGTGTCAAAAGTATTCGTACACTTAAGAAATTTCTCTAAAATTATATAGTATATCACAGTTTAATACTTAGAAGGATACCCTTTCGCCTTAATTATTGCTTTCATTCGACTTGGCATTGAATCTACTAACTTCTTTGTAATATCTGGTGTAATTGATGCCCATTCTTCCAATATGGCGGTTTTCAGCTGATTTTTATTTTTTATTCCTCGATTTTTGATTTTGTCGTCTAAAATACTCCACAAATGCTCAATAGGATTCATGTCTGGTAATTGTGGAGGTGTGTTGAGTCTTTCGGGAGTGTTATATAATACCCAGAGCTTAGCATTATAAGCTGTATGCTTAGGGTAGTTGTCTTGTTGAAATATATAGTTAGTTTGAAGACCCATTTGTGAAGCGCTAGAATTTAAATTTCTTTTTAGAATGTCAATGTACTTTTTGTGATCCATAATCCCATCAATGATGAGCAATTTACCCACTCCATGTGCGCTCATACATCCCCAAACTAGAATGTTACCACCGCCATGCTTTACTGTCGCACTCAAATTTTTTGGTTGTAGCTCTGTATTCTTTTTACGCCACACAATTTGTCTGCCATCAGATCCAAACACGTTAAACTTGCTCTCATCCGAGAATATAACCNTGGTGTAATTTCTTCACTTTCAGTGTCTTCACTTGAATCGCTTTCAGAGTCTGAAATTTTATGAATGTTTTCCGGATTCAAACTTTGTTTGTTTTATTTTGTTCTGGGGAATCTTCGTCAGAACCGCTGTCCTCTTCTGGTGTTTCAACATCAGATGGTAATTCATCCCAGATAATTTTAATTTCTTCTGGCGTCAAGCCTTTTCTTCGTTTATACAATATTCTAAAAAAATAGAAATCGAAAGAATTTTGTAAAAGGGAGGGAAACTCTAAAAATTTGTAAATACTCAATGACAAAACAAAAAACCATTAAGAAATGCAATACTTCAGGATAATTGAATATATTCAAGTGTTTAAAAACAAATTATAATAACATGCAATAACAAAATTCCATTTCAAAAAAGAAATTATTCAATTTTTACCAGGACTTTTATGACCCAACGAGACTTCAATGTCCCAAAAGAACAATAATACGTCATGTTAGAAAATTTTCACTTAATTGGTTATGTTTTGAATTAAAATTACAATGAAGTTCATAAAGAATAGGTAAAAAAATATAAAGTACTTACCATATGTGGATTCTGTTGTTACGAAGCTTGGAAGTACGTCAGTAATTTTCCAGCAATATGGCCGTTCAAACTGAGCGCATGACGAAAGTGTTCACTCATATCCACGCGGAACGAACCGTTTTATATAGTGCTGCCATCTACTGATCATTAGAAAAAGGTTTAAATGAAAGAACTTAAAAGTCCCGTTGGAATTCATGAAAGACTTTTAATTTCATTTGACTTTATATTAAGTGGGACTTACAAGTCCCGTCGAGACATAAAGGGTTAAATGAAAAAATAGAGAAAAAGAAAACACATAGTAATTTGCAAAATGATTTCCTAATTCGCCATTTAAAAATTCCTTGATAAAATTACTGTGGTGGGTTTATTGCTGGATTGGTTGAAAATAATGAATAAGTGCATGAATTTGATTGCACCATGTGAAAAATTCGAGTGTGTTAAATTTTTAATTAAACTATGAAACTTTCATTATTAATTGAAATAAAAAGATGGTGAATTGAAAATCTTTATTTTTCTGCTCTTCGATTCCATATCGATTATTTTAAAATCCTTGTTTACTTTGGTAGAATAAAGTGGTCATCTGAACGTTCGTCTTTTACGTTCTTTTTTACATCGGAAAGACGAACGTTCGTTTTTTCCGTTCTTTTTTAAATCGTTTACAAAAGATAATTTTTTTCTTTTATCTTTGATGTGTGCGGTGGGTTCATGTGGAAATTAAGAACGCCATCATATTGTACATTTCTGGTATAAAGTCTCGCTCTACACCCGCTTACTTTCCAGATGCAAAACCAAGCTGTCTTATTCTTTACATCTCCATGAAAATAATACAAGTACTTATCGTGTTCCAGGTTTTTTTTCCAAACTTGGAATTGTGAAAAAATATCTTAATGTTGATTAGTAAATATACTATATTGACAACACGTGCCACATTGCACTGGTTCAACCAGGCAATCATTGTTATACTCAATTCACACATAAGTGACTTCATTAACACTTTTACCCTTTTAACATTTCACAGAATTAACCATTGCTACTCTCAATAACATAAATCACTAAATGCAATTAACACCACAGTTTATAATGCAATAAACATAAACAAATAGATTTGAGTGCTATTATTATTAATTTTATACACACATAATTAATTAACCAATTTTGTATCAATGAAAACGCTAAATATAAAACACATATTTTAGAGATGGTTCTTTTAATAGTATTATGTTGAGTTATAACTTTAACAACACGAATTTTTTTGTTTTCACCATAGTACAGTTCAACAATCCTGCCCAATGTCCATTTATAGGTTGGTAAATTTTTTTCAATTATCACTACCAAATCTCCTATTTTAATATTATTTTCTTGGAACATCCATTTGCATCGTTGTTGCAATTGGTTCAAATAGTTACGACTCCAAAATTTCCACATTAATTGAACTACTCGTGTTATTTTTTTCCATTTCTTGAGATTATTTTGTTAAATCTGGCTCTTCAATAGAATTTAAAGTACTGTTTAATAAAAAGTGTGCTGGGGTAAGAACTTCAAAATCCTTATCATTGGCTGATAGGGGACAAAGCGGAAGGGAATTCATAATTCCCTCGATTTGTACAGTAACCGTCTGAAGTTCTTCGTAAGTTAAGTTTGTCCCTTTTTAGGTGATATTTACACGATTTTATGGCTGCCTCCCAAAGGCCACCAAAATTGGGAGATCTTGACTTATGTGTATGGCCAACTACTAAATATTTATGACAGATACTACTGATATGCTTTAGATTTTTTATCGCATGGGTATACATTGTTTTAATATACTGATTTTTGTTTCGCCCGGCACAATTGTCAGTATAAAATATTACATTTATATTTTCATTACGTTTTTCAGCCTCGGCGTTTAAGTTTTGCAAATACCGATACACACAGGTGGAAATTTCATTGCAACCCCTTTTGCCATTCACCTCATCCCATGTGTAGCAAATCGTTTTCATGCTTTTTATATCAGTTACTGTTTAGTTGAACACAGAAACTTTGGAGACGTAGTAGAAAGACGACGTACCCATTGGTCATGGCAAAACCGCCTGAAAATCGTATACTGCGACATGAGTTGAGGAAGGTGTTTTTGTCTTGTCATTTTCTTTTTCCATTCGAGCTAGGTCTTTGTTTTTTATGTGCTCCTCATAGTCTAATCTGTTTTTAGTCTTTTCCTCAGGCGAGGAGTTCTCGAATCCCACACATTTATCACGTTAATCTTTTTTAGGAGAAGTAAAGAAAATGATATTGTAACTCTGAAAAATCTTGTGATATTGTTTGTAAGAAGTAGCCTTCTGTTTTTCTCTTTCATTTCATTAGTATAATCTCGGTGTATTTCTGCAACGGTTTTCCCAACTTCAATGTAAACACGAGTCGTGTCTCGACGACAGTAGTTTCTGGGAATTTTCGGTATTCGTTTAATGTGCTTGTGAACACTTTGTGAGATACTTTGATCAATTATGAAAAGAAATCAAAATATTAATGTAAAAATAAAATTAAATAAGATTAAAAAAGGATAAAACATCCAAATGGAAAAATGCGCTTAGCAGCAGAGAAACCAAGAAGAATTAAACAAAGGAGACATTGAAGGAAAATTAGTAAAAAATTGGAAAAAACATGACAATCAAAACTGACGTCATCCTTGAATTGTCATAAAATGCAAAACTTTTTCTATCGAGAAAAGCTAAGACAAAAGTCAAAAAATTCGCTTTCTCTGTAGCCCAAAGGTTTTGCCCAGGTTCAGAAAAAAACAAGAATAAATGGAAAATATGTTATACAATGCAGTAAATTACAGAAGCATAACACAGTAGAATAAACGACAAGACAAATACAGAAGGAAAGTAAGAAAGAAAACTTACTAGTATTATACAAATTAAAATACGTTTAAAATACAGAAGCATATACAATCATTAGAATAAAACAAGACGAATACAGAAAGAAACTTACTTGGAATAACAAGAATCCTATTAACTGAAAAATTCACGTATGACTGCAAGATACAAATGAGAAAGACTAAACCATCAAAACAACTCCCCCCAAAACTGCGCGGTTTAAAGAAAGGACAGCAGTTAAGAAGGTAGTGACGTCATAAAACGAAGGAAAAACGCTAATGAAAAAAAATCGAATAGAATGTTTTTTCCAATTTTTTACTAATTTTTCTTCTATACTTTGATCAAGTTTTTTATGATTATCATGTCTTCCCATACGGTCGACATCCAAAATACCTGTTTCACTGTGCGTTTTTTCTAACACTGTCCTTATAAATCGGTCTGTTATATCGTTAAGTTCCTTTGAACAAAAATCTTGCAAACTCTACATTTGTTTCCAGCAATTGTTAAGTAGTAAGCATGATTTTGGCTCCTATTGTACTTACGATCTACGGTAATTCTTTTTTTTTTTTAGTCTGGGGTGCCACTTCCACCAAACTACCTCTGAGGGGGTTTACCTTCTTTAGGTAAACACAGGGAGTCACGCCCCGGGGTACCCTAGTGATCTGTCCTCCCTTCGTTTTCCTCTCCCTTTTCTCCAACTTTCTTCTTTCTCTTCCCCCTAGTCGTGGTTGCCACATTAACTGGTTAGGGCTTTTTGTCTGTGTTCGATTACCACCCTGTAGTATCGGACCCAGGTGGGAAGAGACCACCCGCGTGTTTGCCCGTGTCCCTGGAAAAGGGGATTCTGGCAGTTGAGGGGCATCTTGGTACCCCAATACACTGCTTTGGCCCGTTCTTCAGGTAAACGGGAGGTGCTCATTGGCCTGTGTGCACCAATCGGCTAGTCACAAACGTCATCTGTTGGCTAGGGTCAAGTCCAAGGTCACTTACTGGGCACCTCGTTAAGGGTGGAGGCTGCTTCAGGGGTGACTCTTGGGCTTATTGCTATCAGTTAGCATCGATGTTAAGTAACGGATTGGTGGCAGCATCGTTATTTACATCTCCTATGTAGGACTCCGTGGTGGGTGGTGCCGCTGATAGTAGAAACAAATGAAATTTTCTATGTCTGAAAATGGGAAGGTGCTCTGTTCCTCACACCAATAAAAAAACAGAGGAACACCTACAATACCGTATGATTATGCTCGATATTTTGTGATATCACTCACAAACCCGACAGTTCCTAACACATCATTTAGTAAAGTTTCGCCTTTTCTAATCCACAAAGCACTGTTATCTGTACTGGGGGAAGTAGAATCTGTTACAAAACAGCGTTCTGGTGACCTTCTAGTTCAGGTCTCTTGTGAAAAACAAGCAGAAATGTTATCGTCTTGTACTACCATGTGCTCATTTGAAGTAAAAGTTTCCCCGCATACATCCTTAAATACTTCTAAGGGTGTTATTTCAGCGTCAGAATTCATCGACGACACTGAGGAAACACTAATTGAAAATTTAAAAGATCAAAAAGTCATTTCTGTTCGTCGCATTCGAATTCGCCGAGATGACAAACTTATTCCGACTAAACACCTCATACTGACTTTCAACCAACCAAAGATACCGCCATCTATTAAGCTTGCTTGGTACAATTACCCAGTAAGACACTATATACCAAACCCTTTAAGGTGCTTTCAGTGCCAAAAATTTGGCCACTCGAGAGCATCTTGTCGAGGACAACTTACATGTGCTCGATGTTCTGTTGCTGGCCATATGGAGGCATCCTGTAAGGTGCAGCCCTTCTGCATTAATTGCAAGGGCAACCATGCTGCATTCTCCAGGAACTGTCCTAAATGGTCACAAGAGAAGGAGATTCAAAGCGTGAAAGTGTTACAAAATCTGACCTTTATAGAAGCCCGTAGAATAGTCACCGCCCGTACTCCCCGTCCGGGCGTATCCTACTCTGCGGCTGCTAAAGTTTCATTTTGTTCAGTCAGTACACAAACTGACATACCTGTATCTTCACAGAAGCTTCAGTCATCTATTCAAAAGCCCAAATTTAATTTTACGAATCCATCGACAAAAACTCTTAGAACCACATCACCTCCTCCTACCAAAACATCTAAAATTGATGGTTCTGAAAAGGCTCGACCTTTTCCTAAACAACCCCCTACGAAAAAACTATTTCCAATTGAAAAACCTGGTCTTTCCCGAAAGAAAAAGGATCCAAAGTATGTCCAATAAGTCAAACAATCCACTTCTGAGACTCCTCAGAATATGGATGTTGAGTTATCTTTATATCCTTCTGAGGATGAAAGTCTTTTAGACTGACATCCTGACGTTAACATTCAATCATCTCCATTCATTTTATTATGTCCATTTGTTTCATATCATGGAACTGTCGTGGTGTTCGGAACAAACTTTCTGATGTCAAGGACATTATTTCAAAATTTCAACCTGTATGCCTAGCAATACAGGAAACACATTTAACGTCATCCAATGATTTTAAATTGCGTAGCTATTCTTGCACACGGCATGATGTCGACGATGGAAGTCGACCTCATGGTGGAGTTGCTATTTTATCTTCAAATGCATTACCATCTATACAACTCCCATTGTCATCCTCATTACAGGCATGTGCTGTTCAAATTCACCTACTAAATGTTCTTCTCACTGTCTGTTCTATTTATTTACCCCCTCATGCATCTGTTTCTCAAGCAGATTTAAATTCATTGATTTCCAAGTTACCTTCACCGTTTATTTTGGTCGGGGATTTTAATGGTCACAGTGAACTATGGGGTAGTTCCGTTTCCAATGATCGGGGGCGTAAAATCGAACAACTCCTCCTGGACCATAATCTCTGTTTGCTAAATCAAGGCGAAGAAACTTATTTTCATACTCCAACTCGAACTTTTCATTCTATTGATTTAGCTTTATGTTCACCAGTTCTCATGCCGTTCATAAACTTTTCTGTTAGCAATAGTCTTCACAACAGTGATCATTTTCCTCTCATTTTATCATATTCTGCTACAGTTCCCATGAGTCCAAGACCCTCAGTATTTATATATCATCGCGCTGACTGGCCCTTATTCACTCAACTTGCTCAGATAGACGATACAATGGTTACTCATGCTAGCATAAATACTGCTGTTAATACTGTAACCTCTGTGATTATCCGTGCTGCAGAAGATAGTATCCCAAAGACGTCGACCTATGTTTCCCGTTTACGAAAGCCTTGGTGGAATTCTGAATGTTCCTCGGCTTACAAGGAGCAAAAACGACTGTGGAACACCTTCCGTCGAACCCCTTCTACGACAAACCTTTTGGCTTTTAAACGGGCCAAGGCGTTTGCTCCCAAGGTTCGACGCATAAGTCAAAAAGAGTCCTGGAAGCGGTATGTCACATCTATATCATCTAAGACATCTCCCAGACAAGTCTGGTCGAGAGTCAAAAAAGCAAATGGCATATACCGTGAATTTCATATCCCGATATTTGAAAACAACGGTAATACATATTCTTCTCCTCTCGATGTATGCAATATGCTTGGTGAGACATTTGCTTCTATCTCCAGTCCGGATAACTACAGTTCAGTTTTTCGAAACCACAAGCGCAATGCCGAACGCCAAATCATTAATTTTAACACTCGCAGATCATCTTCATATAATGTTGATTTTACTTTTCTAGAGTTACAACACGCACTATCATCAGCTTCAAATACAAGTCCTGGTATTGATGGTATTACATATCGCATGCTCCGTCATTTAGATACTGCGTCCTTGTTCTCTTTAATAGAATGTGGACGGAACAGACGTACCCTACTAAATGGCGTGAGGCTATTGTGATACCCATTTTGAAACCAGGCAAGGATCCCAAAGATCCAGTAAACTATCGTCCCATAGCCTTAACCAGCTGTTTAGGGAAAACATTTGAGCGCATGATTAACGCACGCCTTGTATATTACCTAGAAAAAAGCGTCTAATACCTAACTTTCAAAGTGGCTTTCGTAGAGGAAGATCAACAATAGATAATATTATCGAACTAGAGTCTCGAATTCGAAATGCTTTTGTCCGGCGGAATCATCAAATCTCTATCTTCTTTGATATCGAGAAAGCATATGATAGAACCTGGCGATATGGAATTCTGAAGGCACTGTTTGATTTGGGTCTCCGTGGTCATTTGCCGATTTTTATAAAAAAAATTCTATTTAGACGATATTTTCGTGTTAAACTTGGATCTACCTTTTCTGACCTTTACATCCAGACAGAAGACGTCCCACAAGGCAGCGTCTTAAGCGTCACATTATTCAGCACTCATATTTCACTACTTTTAAACATATTGCAACCTGCTGTCTATGGCTCTCTTTAAGTTGATGATATACACATTTCTTGCTCTGGATCCGACATGAGAGTCATCGAGCGGCAACTGCAATTAGCCGTGAACAAGATTTTAGACTGGTGTGATCACAATGGCCATACCCTTTCACCTTCGAAAAGTTCATGCATTCATTTCTGCCGGAAACGCACCCTTCATAACGATCCCGTCATCTCCATTCATAACATTACTATCCCTGTTGTACCTTATACAAAATTTTTAGGCGTCATTTTCGATTCTAAGTTAACCTTTCGTCCTCATATTGTGTACTTGCGCAAAAGATGTGAACAGATACTGAATATGTTGCGTGTTCTGTCGAATACGTTCTGGGGAGCGGATCGTCTAGCACTTTTACGTATCTATCAAGCCCTGAAACTATCGAGGCTGGACTATGCATGCGCAGTCTATGGTACGGCAACCACTTCTAACCTACGAGCCCTAGACACAGTACATCATGCTGCTTTACGCATATCTTCTGGAGCATTTCGTACTTCTCCAGTGGAAAGTTTATATGTAGTTTGCCAACAAATACCATTACATCTACGTCGCATGCAGCTGTCTCTTACTTATTACTTCAGTGTCATGTCCTCTAAATCGCATCCCTTAAAGCATGATGCTATTTCATCAAGCTTGGAGCGACTGTATTTGGCTAGACCATCACACATTCGCCCATTTCATGCTCGCACACGTTCACTTATCCAAACATTCGATATTTGTGAATTGCCATCACAATCAGTGGATCACTTTCTCATACCTCCATGGACCATTTCACCATATCAATGTATTTCCCTTTTCAAGTTCTACAATAAAGCCAACGTCACACCCGGCGTTTTTCATAAAATCTTCACTGCACATCGTCACCAATATTCTCAATATATACCGATTTTTACAGACGGTTCAAAATCTGTTGGATATGTAGGCTGCGGTGTAATCATCGCTGATGATACATTTAGTTATAAAATCCCACATATTTGCTCCGTCTTCACTGCTGAAGCTGTTGCTATCCTTATGGCACTACGACTAATTTCCTCAAACTCTACTCGAAAGTATTGCCTATACTCTGATAGTATGAGCGTTTTAAGCCAACCAGAGAAGTTTCACTATGATAGTCATCCAATTTTATGTATCATCATTCATTTGTTAATCACTCTTCAGAAGAATGGCTTCGAGATAATATTTTGCTGGGTACCAAGTCATGTTGGTATTCCAGGGAATGAACGAGCTGACTCAGCTGCACGATCTGCCACATCTGCCTTATCATTGTCCATACCTTTCGCCGATGTGAAGATACACATCCGAAAATTTGTAACATCAGTATGGCAACAACAATGGGACCTCAAAGTTTTAAATAAATTGCATAACATTAAATCTGTTGGAGCTAATCTTCCAACGCTGAAAAGGAAGAATTGCATGCATGCATGGCGCTGCATGATGCAACTCGCATACCGTTGGGTCCTTGCGGGTACGATCAAATTTCAATTTTTGAAAAGGAACTCGAAATCAGCACTGATAAAATGAACAAGGTACGTTTTAATCACTTATGATATATTTTTCCACTTTAAAAAAAAAAATATTAATTTTACAATTTTTTTCCTTTCTTAGATTTCTTACAAGGGTTGCAATAGACCAAATAAAGTTTATTTATGGCTACATAATGGTCATTTTGACCTGATTAAGTCTCCGAAGGGGTTTTATGGGATGAACCATTTTTGTGAATCCTGCTTCAAACCATACCAACATATCGCCCAACATAGATGTGACCTATTATGCCATATATGTCGTGGAGCGGAATGTCTCACAGTAGTGGGGGGAAATATAAGATGCACAGAATGTAACAGACTTTGTAGATCTGCTTCTAGCTATTCCACCCATATAGAAAAAGGAATATGTGCATTGGTAAAAAACGATTAAATTACCTAAACGATTAATTCATTAAATTACCTGTTTTTTTTGTTGTTCTATTATTGGAATATACATGTTTTGTTTCTGTTGTTTTAAATGAGATATGATTTATTTTTTCTTAGATATACCAATGCAGACAATGTTCCAAAGTTTTAGAGAGGAAGAAATGTCCGATGGACAGACACAAATGCGGAGAAACAGTATAATCCACCTGGGCATCTGTGTTTTCTGAAAAAAATTGACCCTAAGACACCGAATGACAAATTAATTTTTTTTGATTTTGAGACCACACAATCAACTGGAGAACACATGGTAAATTTTGCTGTTCTTCAGTATGGAAATGGAGATGAGCATATTTTTAGTGGTGAGGATACTATCACTAAATTTTGCTACTTTGTTTTTACAAACAATCATAAGGGCTATACATTAATAGCTCATAACTTAAAAGGGTTTGATGGCCAGTTTGTGTTAAGATGCCTATTAGAGAAAGGCTATCAACCTCAGGTTATCCCTCAAGGGTCCAAGCTGATACAAATTAAGGTTGCTGCTCAGGGCATTAGATTTATTGATTCGTTCAGCTTTTTACCGATGGCCTTATCCAAGCTACCGAAGACTTTTGGAATTGAAGAATTGGCGAAAGGCTTTTTCCCCCATTTTTTTCAATACCCCTGGAAACCAGGACTATGTCGGTCCTATGCCTGAGAAATCCTTTTATTCTCCAGACACAATGTCAACTGAAAATCGAAAAAGTTTTTTGAAATGGTATGAGGAACATAAAGATGATGTTTTCGATTTCAAAAAAGAAATGGAGAGATATTGTCGGTAAGGGGTAAACTAATGAATGATATTCTATAAAATTTATGTTTTTTCGGATTGATGTCTTATATTTTTCTTTTTTTAATTTTCAGTTCAGATGTCGACATATTAAGTAAGTGTTGTCTAGAGTTTCGTCATCAGTTCATTGAATTAGCGGGTGTTGATCCTTTTTGGTAATTGCAATTATTTTCTTAAGTATTTTGATAATTCTGTGCACATTATAGCTAACTATTGTTAAATCTTTTGCTTAATTTTGTTTGTTTTTTCTTTTAGTTACGTAACTATAGCAGCATCATGCATGGCGTGCTACAGGAGTGCACATCTATCTCCTGAAACTATAGGGATGGTTACAGTTCATGGTTACGCCAACGGGAACTATAGCATGGACGGCATTAGGTGGTTAGATTTTGTTGCGTTTTCTGAGGGTATTCATATTTCCCATGCATTGAATGGACGTGGTGAGACTGTAGTGGATGGTTTTTGTCATGAAACAAAAACTAAACATAACCATGTGAACACCAAAATGATTTTATTTTCTTACGTAAATAGGGTTGTTTTTATCACGGATGTGATAAATGTTTTGATCCTGATGCAGTGAACCCATTATCAGGAGAAACAATGGACAAGTTGAGGAGACAAACATCTGCAGTGTCTGAGAGATTGAGAGATAAAGGCTATCAGTTGGTTGAGATGTGGGAACATGATTTCAAGGAAATGATGAGCAACGATCTGGATATGAAATCTTTTCTAGAGAACCATGAAGTCGTAGATAGGCTGAACCCCCGAGATGCTTTTTTTGGTAGCAGAACGAAGGCTGTGAAACTCATTCATGAAGGGAAGGCTAAGTATATTGATTTCACAAGTCTTTATCCCTGGTGTAATAAATACTGTAGGTAAGGATCTTTCTCCTTGTCTTCTTTTTGTATTAACAGAATCTTGATTTCGTATTTCAATATTTTTAATTATTTATGTTTTTTTTTACAGGTATCCTATTGGCCACCCCTCCATCATTACAAATAATTTTGATGATTTGGATAAATATTTCGGCCTCATCAAATGTAAGGTTCTGCCACCTAGGAAATTGTTTCACCCTGTTTTGCCCTACCGTAGTCAAGGCAAGCTATTGTTCCCCTTATGTCGCGTTTCTTGTATGACAAATCAACAAGAACCCTGTACGCATAGTGATCAAGAAAGGAGTTTGACGGGTACTTGGGTAATCGAGGAGATGAAAAAAGCGGTTGAAAAAGGATATATTATATTCAAAGTAAGGAGTTTTTTTCACTTGATATCTATTTATATTTATGTATAAGTAGTTCACCATTTTTATTTTATTCATTATTTTTTTAATTTCCAGGTGTTTGAAGTATATCACTTTGAGGAATCATCCTCTGATTTATTTAAATCTTATATAGACTTGTTTCTGAAGTTGAAACAAAAGGCTAGCGGATGGCCAGAAGGGTGCAATACTGAGAAGGAAAAAGACCGGTATATCCAATCTTGTTTTGAAAAGGAAGGGGTACTGTTGAGGAAAGAGAACATAAAGTTAAACCCTGGCCAAAGAGCTCTCTCCAAACTAGCTCTAAACAGCTTTTGGGGGAGATGGGGGATGAGCCTTATTAAAATGATGTTAAATTTTGTAGGCAGTTTAGAGGAGTTTAACAAATATCTTTCTGACAATACGAAAGAGGTGAGTATTGTTCATTTAGATAACGAATATTCCTTATACATAGAACTTTACGATTTTGTTTAAACATTTTCTTCCCTTTCTTAGATTCAAGATGTGTTTTTCCCCACCGATAAGATCTGTGGAATGCAGTGGAAACAGAGAGCAGAATTTATAGATGGTGATCAAAGCACTAATATTTTCATTGCTGCTTTTACAACTTGCCATGCAAGATTAAAATTATACAATGAGATCGATAAATTGGGGAACGGGTTCTCTATTTTGACACTGACTCCATTATTTATGAGTCGAACTGTATGAACGATCCGCCATTGGGGAACTTTTTATGTCTCCCATCCATTACAGGATTATTACCTGAGAAGTACGTTGAGCATGTCAGCCTTTTAGTTGGAGCAGTTTTTAAACTACTGAAAAAGTCTATATCTAAAGAAGAACTGGAGATAGTCGATAAATTCTTGGTACGATTCGTTGTTGGCATGCAACAGTAGTATGGTGAAGTGCATATGTTGATAATGAGCTTGTGTATGCCGAGGATAAGGAAACTATCCCTTCAGAGATTGATTGTGAATTCCCTGTTTTGGAAAAAGATTCAAGTAAAAATCTAAATTATCTTTTTACTGAACAATTTGAAGTGACTGTCAGGATGTCTAAGAGCGAACTTCTTTTGATGGTTTACAACTTTGCCCTACGCCATCACTTGTCAGATGTAGCTATGATTGATCTGACAAAAATGATGAATGTCATACTCGGAGATCAGCTACCTCAAACTTTGTATGGAATTCATAAAATTCTTGGAACAGATTGCTTAAAATCTGCTAAGCAGCATTATTTTTGTAATAATTGTTTAAATTATGTGGAAACTCCATGTAATGATGACAAATCTTTTATATGCACTAAATGCAGCTCCAACATAAATGTATCCAATCCTAACTTAGATAACTCTTTTACCATCATTGATATTCAAAATAAAATTTCTAATGTCATTAAATCAAGTGAGGGGCTTCAAGATAAAATTGTATCCAGTGTAAATTCTTGCCCAGCAAATAATAATTCATCTGTCATTGCAGATATATCTGATGGGAGACCTTATAAGGGTATGCAATCTGTTCCTCAGCCTTTCCTTACGTATAATTTTTCTTTGAATGGCTTAGCCCTTTTCAATAGCGGAAAAGGGTCAGTTGGGCCAATTTTTTTTTTATCCATCAACGAATTGCCCCTTGAAGAAAGAAATAAGTATATTCTTCTTGCTGGTGTCTGGTTTCGAAAAGTTGAGCCCAAGTTTGATATTTCTTTGAAGCCATTCGTGGAACAGGCTCAAACTCTTGCCTGTGAGGGACTAGATATTTTCTTAAATTCAAGAAAATGTGTTGTAAAACTTTTTCCACATCCAGGTTTTACCATAAACGGTACCGTAAAGTATATCATAAAAGAAAAAGTCATTCATGAAGACCGAGATGAGGTTGAAACTGCCAAACTAATGTCTGTAGCTGCTTCAACTGGCAAACATTTATTGCGTATTAAAGGACCACCTCCTCTGATATCCATCCCAAAATTTAACATCATTCAAGGCTTTTCTACTGATTCTAAGCATGGAATTTGGGTGTCGTAAAAAAAAATGGTAAATTTATGGTTTGACACAACGAGTTGCAAGCAAGAATATTATGTTGGTAATAAATCACGCAAGATAATTAACGAGTGAATTTCATCGTTCATAATGCCAAAATCTGTAGGGCGTACACCTCAACCAATAGAAAGAGTTATAAGACAAGCGAATGGCGGAATTTTTTACTATACGTATGTCTCTCATCCATTACAGGATTATTACCTGAGAAGTACGTTGAGCATGTCAGTCTTTTAGTTGGAGCAGTTTTTAAACTACTGAAAAAGTCTATATCTAAAGAAGAACTGGAGATAGTCCATAAATTCTTGGTACGATTCGTTGTTGACATGCAACTGTTGTATGGTGAGGTGCATATGACTTTCAATGTACATTCTCTCCTTCATATAACGAGGAGTGTGTTGGACTGGGGTCCTATATGGATTAGATCTATGTTCATTTATGATGGAAAAAATTCCTTATTAAGGAAATATTAAACAGGACCCACTGGCATTCGTAGCCAAATAATTCGAAAATTTTTGCTTCAACAGCAGTTTTCTTGTCCATCCATTCTTAAAAGCTGCAGCGAGCCAGTTCAATGATATTTCTCAGAACTTCATGGAAATAAAAAACATGCCATTCAAAGTACAGTTGATCATGTGCTTTTGATTGGTAAACCAATTGAAGCATATCCGAAATATTTTTTCAAACTGTGAAAATCTGACAATATATCCAAAGATGATTTTTTGTAATAAAATATTTTCAATAGAAAATGTCAACTATTCCGAGTCATTAATTCATTTAAATGATGATAAAGTAGGTAATATCTTGGCGATTGCTCATGATAATGTAAATAATGATGTTATTATATTATTTAAAGTTTATGTAAAGATAGGTCTTGTTTCAAAAAATGTATGTTGTATGTTTTTAACTAATGACCAAATAACTTATACCATAAAAGCTACAGAAATTGGTGGAAAATGTGTTAAATTTGACAATTAATTTAATTTTTTGTAAAAACAGTCAATAATTTTGAATGTATCACCTCAATTTATCTTTTAATTTTACTATAACTATACTGCTTCTTTAAATTCTATAACTATGCTGCTTCGTTAAATTTGCTTTTGTGGTTTGATATCTGATGTAATAGGGCAAAATCATGATCTCTATCTTAAATTGAATGTTGATCATAAATATATATACTTGTTTATACTGTAAAATTTTTAAGAAGTTATTATCCACCTGTTATTGATTATTTACACTTTATTTATTTAGTCTTAAATTATCATGTCATATGAGTGGAAAATTGTATTGTGATAAAATCAAACGAAAAAGAGTAATCTTAATCGTTAATAAGCTTTTTGTTTTTCTCTGGTTGGCAACCTCAGCCAACACAGTGCTCGGTTACTTTTTTCTCTGTGGTCACGCTGCTGTGTGCAGCTGTAATATGTTCATGTCCTTTTTTAATTGATAATCAAGTACAGTCAAACCCCACTATAGTGAACCTTCAAGGAACCGAAATTTTGGTTCACTATATCCGTTATGCAGGCAATTTTACTAATAGTTCTCCCTTTTACTATACATTATTTAAATATGTGACTGAAAAATATTATGTAGTAGCAAAAAATATTTTATTTTTCATTACTCTTCGTCCTGCGTACAAAAAAAAATTAGTAATCTTTAGCTCATGAGCAGTCCTCAATATCAGATATGGAAACACTTCCTGATTCTCAGATGATTTTTCCTGAATTTCTGTTATTCCACTTTTTGAACCTATCTAACCTGCCATTTGAGCACATAAAAGTAGTCTCATAAAATCACTTAGCAAATTCATAGACATTTGTCCAGATACTGGAAAATTGCTTCTTCTTTGAATGCTGAAGCACTTCAGTAATGCTTCATCAACATCCTTGTGATCTATTTTTCTAAACTTTTTTCTGCCATCTAAATTTAGAAAAATAGAAAAATGGCCGTTCAAATTAATTTCATTAAATCTTCAAAAGGCAAGATATGCTGAACTATAGAGATAATCTTTTTTACTGTCATTCTTTGTACAAAGATGTCCAGTACTGGGTGTGCATGAGGAAAGTTTCAACTGCATGTAAAAAAAAAGAGTTTTTGTAAGCAATGGCATTATGATGAAAGAAACTGGATTTCACAATCATTCTGGGGAATCCAACAAGATTGCAAATTTTTAATTTGTACAGCAATTGAAAACCAAGTTATTGCAAAATCCAGAAGTGCCTGTTCCAAAAATGTACAAGTGAGTACATATATCTAAATGATATGTCATATTTGTATATGAGATGTTAATATAATTTTTAGAAATGATAAATAAAATATAGTAACTGTTATGTGAAAATGAGGTCAATGTTTATAAATTTACATAACTTCACTATCATTTCGGGACATATTTGGTAATTCTTTTTTTAATTATTATGATTGAAAATTGAATTGTTAAATACTATAAATAGTTTACAAAATTAATTTAATTTAGAAAAAAATGATTTATGTTATCACACAAAAGATTAATATAGACAAAAGCTTAATACAGACATGTCCACATTAATACAACAGCTATATGTCAACATTAGTCCTATGATCTCATTTACACAAAGTTCATTCTTAGATACTTAAGAAATTCAAACAAAATGTTAAGATTGAAAATGCAAAAATTTACAAATAGCATATCATTTATTAACTTAATCTATCAATAGAGATAATATTGTTAATACTAAATATTATTAAAATATTATTATCTACTTCATAGAATATATTAAAATATGTTTATAATTATCTTCCATAAAATTAAATATAAGTAATTTTTCTTCTTTTTTTTAGAAGTATATTATCAGAAACAGCTACATCAGTAGCTGCTGCTGCAAACATTCCAGCGTATGCTTCGATCAAGACAGCATTGTACAAAACTTGAAACACGCTGCGGCCAAAATCTATTGATGATTTATTGCTGCTGCAATACCAAAAATGGAACACCATATCTGCTCATTGATGATGGAACTGGATCGGATAGAATTCGGGTAAGAGAAAATAAATTCCAAAGCAAAATAATAAAAAGCATAATATTAAAAAGCAAATAAAAATACTATAGCTTATTTGAATAAACAGGTACACATATAGCTATACTCGGATGTTTACTTTAAAAAAAAAAATTTTTTTTTTTTTGCAAAAGAAAAAATATTTTACGCCCACAAGTCTTATATCATGTGGTTAGTGTAAACATCTTAAAACTTATTATTTAATAACATACTAGATGGCTAAGCCCTCCTTTGGTACCGTACTCTAACCCAGATAAGTGATTCACAATATTTGTTCTCACTCGACATAAAAAAGTTTGTTCTACGAAAGTTGACGCTATTAACTTTATAGTATGTAGGAAAACTACTATAAGAAGTTAATAACTATATCTTAAAATGTAGAGCACAATTGTATTACAATAATAAATAAAAACTATGTTAAACTATTATGTTTTTGTGTTACATAGAGATATAATTAATCTTTTATTTGTTGGTATTTTGCACTGCAGAAAATTTAGGAAACCTTTGTACCAGCTAGAAATTATTTTTAGATGGCACCTTTAGGGCAACACCAAAAATTTTCAAACAGCTATATACCTTACATGGGGATTACATGGCTTTTTGTCTGCTTGGAGGTAAAACTTTTGCTCTGTACAAGAGGCTGTTTG